GTTATCGGGGGAAGTAGGGGAAGGGGTAGACCTAGGAAGAATTGGAAGGAGGTGATTAGGCAGGATTTAGGACTTCTCACCCTGACTGAGGATATGGCCTTAGATAGGAACCTTTGGAGGACTAGGATTAGAGTAGCTGGTTAGGAGCTCGGTGCTGTAGAGGTTTTTGTAGTGTGTTGTGTTTGTTTGGTATCTTCTACTTTTGCTTGCTGGACTTTCATTTCATTGTACTTGGTGCTTTATCTTGTTATATCCTGTTATATCTTGTTATCCTGTTATATTGTGTTCTCTACCATATTTTTTGTGCAGGTTGAGCCGGGGGTCTCTTGGAAACAGCCTCCCTACTTTCGAGTAGGGGCAAGTCTGCGTGCACACACCCTCCCCAGACCCTACTGTAGTGGGATTCAACTGGGTTGTTGTTGTTGTTGTTGTTGTTTTTAACACGTAACAGAAATTTCTTGGGTCTCATTGAGATGTTACAAGAGTTTGATCCAAATGTTCGAGAGCATGTGCGATGAATCACAAATGATGAGCTTCATGTGCATTATCTCGGGCACAAGATCAAGAATGAACTCATACTTGATTTAGCCCAATAGATTAAGAAGGAAATCATCAAGAAAATAAAGGAAGTCAAGTACTACTCAATCATATTTGATTAAACCCCTGATACAAGTCACCAAGAAGTATTTAAACTTCTCAAGTAATTCTATTATTGTGCATGGAAGAGTCCTTTTTAGGCTTCATGAATGTTAATGATACAACCGGAAAAGGACTATTTGATGTCACACTTAAGGGGTTAAAGTCTCTTGGTCTTGAAATTGATGATATTCGTGGTCAAGGTTATGATAATGGGGAAAATATGAAAGAAAAACACCAAGAAGTTCAAAAGAGATTTTTGGATATCAATCCTAGAGCATTTTACACTCCTTGTGGTTGTCATTATATTAATCTCACATTATGTGATATGGCTCAGAGTTGTGTTAAAGGGAAAAACTTTTTTGGAGCCATCAGAAAAAATTTATACTATCTTTGCACATTCAATTAATCGGTGGCAATTTTTGAAAGATAATGTTAAAGGTTGGAGTCTTAAGCCATTGTATCAAACTCGTTGGGAAAGTCGTGTTGAGAGTATTAAGGCAATTAGAATGCAACTTTCCGATGTACGAGAAGCTTTACTTGAAGTTGGAGAAAAAAATAGTGATAATGCAATTGTTCATACAGCAAAGTCACTAGCAGAAAATCTTAGTGAATTTGAGTTTTTGGTATCAATTGTTATTTGGTATCAAATATTAAACTAGGTAAATGTAGTGAGAAAGAAGTTACAATCAAAGGATATGCATCTAGATATTTCTATTAAAGAGACAAATGGATTGATTGACTACTTCAAGGATTATAGAGAAACTGGTTATTCAAAAGCAATTGATGAAGCAAAGGAGATAGCTACTGAAATGGATACACCTCCGATGTTTCCAGAAAAGCGTTTGATTCGAAGGAAAAAAAGAGTTGATGAGAGTTCAAGTAGCGAAGAAGTTTCATTTAAAACTGAAGAGAATTTCAGGGTCAATTTCTTCTCTTATGTTGTGGATAAAGCCAATTCTTCTCTTGAGATGAGATTTGAACAATTCAAAGACTATGAGAGATTATTTGGGTTTTGTTTCCACATAAGTTGAGTGGAATTGAAGAAAAGGAGCTTAAGTTGTTTTGTCATCAACTTGAAAATGCACTCAAGTTCGAAGAAAGATCGGATATTGATGCTGAAGAGCTTTACATGGAGTTGAAATCATTCAACACATTACAAACCAGTGAATTTAGCAACCCCATAGATGTTTTGAAGCATTTAAAAGAACTTCGTTATCACCAGAATGCCTTCATTGCATATAGAATTTTGTTAATTGTTCTAGAAACAATGGCATCTGCAGAGAGAAGTTTTTTCAAATTGAAGCTCCTGAAATCTTACTTACGGTCTACAATGTCCCAAGAAAGACTTAGCGGATTGGCGGCAATAGCTATTGAGAATGAAATCTTAAAGAGCATAGACTGTGAAGATGATACGAACTCGTATCGGATAGGGAAGACTTAGAGCGTCTTCAAGCTCTTGAGAATATGAGACGAGGAAGAAGAAGAATTGAGACGAAGAGAATTGGCGAACCGAGAGAGGAGAAGGGATTAGGGTTTTTATTTGTTTATTGATTAATTAACTCTAAAGGGGGGTTACATCTCCTTATATAGGAAAGAAGGAAACCCTAACGCTAACCTGACGGTTCAATAAAAGCGATGAGGGAAAGAACCGTAAAGAAACCTCGAAGGAGCTTATAATTTCGCTCACCTAATAAAACCTAAATTACATTAATAATAATAATAATAATAATAATAATAATAATAATAATAATAATAATAATAATAATAATAATAATAATAATAATAATAATACTATTAAATAACCTACTCTACTATCCATAACACTCTCACCCCCTTAGAAAACCACCTTGTCCTCAAGGTGGAGGCTCCCACTCATGCATCTGGACAAGAGAGAAAATATTGACCCAAAGATTATGGTCACTTGATGACAGATCTTCATTCAGCCTGCAAATTGGCGTATAGCGATGGACATAAGAGAAAAGAGCAAATACAAACTTAGTTATTTGTGGTGAAACCCAATACTCAGACTCCACTATATTCGCATGGCCAAAGGACTGGATGATATCAAAGGAGAGTGAGATGTCCGCTTGCGTATAATTCACATCTGCTACTTGGGCGGTTTTGGACGGAGGTACAAGGCTACATGTGATGATGACATTGCTCAATGTTTGATCCTTTGCAGCTTCCCCCTTACCCGGTGCATCTACCGGTGTATCAACAACTACAAGATCTGATGGAAAGGCATTAAAAATACCTTCAACAGAAACACCATCATCAGCAACTTCAAGAACTCTCACTGAATTACGAACAGTATGCTCCACAGTTCCATGTCCTTAGATGTAGGATTGTGTAGAGTAGTTGTAGGGGCCAGATTAGGTGGAGCAATGGGAACACCGAGAAGATTCCTTATAGCGTCCATCATCTTTGTTTGGAAACTTTTTAACTCCAAGGGAATATCACTCAATGCCATTGGAGTACCACGCACCAAATCTTGTATCGAGCAAGAGATTTCCATATTGAACGCATATAACTCAGAGTCAGAATACGGTAGATCTAAAAGATGACGAAATAAGTGGAGCGTATTCAAAATTTCATCCACATGATCATAAGCTATACAGACTCCGTCATGAAATTCAACTCTTCCATAAAAAATATTCTTCAACAAACTAAGAAGTTTGTTCAAAGCATCATCCATTATTACTTGTGATGATGCGGCACGAATACAATAGCAATTACCAAGGCAATAAAATGGTTGCACCTGGGTACGATCGGCGGCAAGCAGAATTTTTTTTTGTGAGATCAAATGCTGCAAAAGAAGATCGGCGGCAGACGCAGCTTTTCGGGAAATTGGGACAATTTTTGTTTTTTTGGGGTTCCTCTCAACGAGAGCACCAATGATACGAACTCGTATCGGATAGGGAAGAGCGTCTTCAAGCTCTTGAGAATATGAGACGAGGAAGAAGAAGAATTGAGACGAAGAGAATCGGCGAACCGAGAGAGGAGAAGGGATTAGGGTTTTGATTTGTTTATGGATTGATTAACTCTAAAGGGGGGTTACATCTCCTTATATAGGAAAGAAGGAAACCCTAACGCTAACCTGACGGTTCAATAAAAGCGACGAGGAAAAGAACCGTAAAGAAACCTCGAAGGAGCTTATAATTTCGCTCACCTAATAAAACCTAAATTACATTAATAATAATGTACTATCCATAACAGAAGATGTGATCAACCAACTTATTATTATTATTATTATTAAATAACCTACTCTACTATTATAATAACCTACACTAAAGATGTAATTATTATTATTATTAAATAACCTACTCTACTATCCATAACAGAAGATGTGATCAACCAATTTGCTCTCAAGAATGCAAGGAGAACTTCTCGAATCCTCGGCTAGCTTTTACGGTATGTAATTATAATACTATAATTTTGTCATTTATTTTTTTATTCTAAGAATATTGCCTTAATTATATATTAAATATAATTAGTTCACATATGTGAATTTGTTAGACCATTAAGGATAAGAATTTTAGGGATTTTTTTATGTTTCGGCCCAGGCCGATGAATCCTCAAGACTGGACCTGCTCCGAAGAGCCGACTGCCGAAGAAAGGATGCCGCCTCCACCGCCGGACGCCGACCTCCACGGCTCCACCCTCCAGGTATTCCATATTCAATTATTCATAGCTTTCCAATTTTGTAATTTATATTTCTTAAATCTTAATTTTCTTTAATTTTTTCATTTTTTAGATTTAAAATCAAGGGTTAATTATTATTTTTTAATTTGAAATCTTTTCTAATTTCATTCTTTGAAATCAAATGAATTAATGGTTCTACATGTTATTTATTTGATTTGGATGAATTGATTTTAATTTGTTATTTATGATATATTTATATAAAAAACTGAAACCGACAAAAAATTAAAAGCCGATAAATTGACCAATTGATATGAATTTATGATTTATAAAAAAAATTAAAACTAAAAAAGAAAAAAAGAATTAAAAAAATTGACGAATTGATATTAATTTATGATATATTTATTTAATTGCTTGCTTTTTCAGTTTTTCATACTTGATTTTACTAAGTAGTAGAATTTATGAATTTAGATTTTATTTCAGAAATAATTCAATAGCTATGGCTCCAAAACAATTATCCGGTGATCAAAAAAGAAAAAATAGAAAACGAGATGAAGAAATGAGAAAGTCTCAAGCCGGAGCTCTATATACGTTTATGAAACCTGCTGCTGAAGACGAAGAAGTAGAAGTAAAAGACATGGAAGAGCAAGAGCATCTACAAATAGAGCAAGAACATGTTGAAGACGATGAACATGTAGAAGAAGAGGAAGAAAATTTAGAAGAGGAAAAAGAACATCTTGAGCCTATGGTTAGTGTTGTGCATACCGTTGTCGATATATTTGATCCAAGAAGATGGGAAGGACTTAATTCTGAAGAGATTAAACTTTTGGTGGAGAAAGGTCCAAAAAGAGATCATAGTATTCACTATGGTCCATACGACAAAGATGGACAAAATGGTAGACGTTTTTTTGCAGCATTATATACAAAAACGTTACCAAATATGGAGAAGTGTGATAGAGAATGGCTTGTATATTCGAAAGAAGTAGACAAGAAATTTGTTTCTGCTGTAAACTGTTTAGAACAATAATTCTGAAAGGAAAATTGGATGGTGAAGGTTATGCAGATTGGCACCATGCTCATATAAGAGTCAAAGAACACGAACTTTCAATGGATCATCTCTCCACTGTGAATAGATGACTTGATATTTGTAAAATATTGAAGCTGAATGAAACAATTGATAAAGTTCGGCACGAGCAATTCAAGAAAGAAAGAGGCTACTGGAAACAAGTCATTTTCAGAATCATAGCATTAGTGAAGTTTTTGGCTAAACATAATTTAGCATTCCATGGCTCAAAAGAAAGATTGTATCAAAAAGGTAACGAGATAAAAATGTTTTACTTTTAAATGTTCCACTTTCATAAAATGTCATTTTTCCTAATTGTGTTTACTTTTTAACAGCTAATGGAAATTTCTTGAGACTCATTGACATGTTACAAGAGTTTGATCAAGCTATCGAGAGCATGTGCGACGAATCACAAATGATGAGCTTCATGTGCATTATCTGAGGCACAAGATCTAGAATGAACTCATACTTGATTTAGCCCAAAAGATTAAGGAGGAAATCATCAAGAAGATAAAGGAAGCCAAGTACTACTCAATCATACTTGATTGTACACCTGATACAAGTCACCAAGAGCAGATGAGTATGATAGTGAGGTATTTAAACTTCTCAGGTAATTCTATTATTGTGGAAGAGTCCTTTTTGGGCTTCTTGAATGTTAATGATACCACCGGAAAAGGACTATTTGATGTCACAATTGAGGAGTTGAAGTCTCTTGGTCTTGAAATTGATGATATTCGTGGTCAAGGTTATGATAATGGGGCAAATATGAAAGGAAAACAACAAAGAGTTCAAAAGAGATTTTTGGATGTCAACCCTAGAGCATTTTACATTCCTTGTGGTTGTCATTCTCTTAATCTTACATTATGTGATATGGCTCAGAGTTTTGTTAAAGGGAAGAACTTTTTTGGAGCCATCCAAAAAAAATTATACTATCTTTGCACATTCAATTAATCGGTGACTTAATATTAGATATTTGCACATTCAATTATCTTTGCACATTCAATTAGATATTGATACAAAAATAGTTTTATTGGATTTATTACTTCAAATATTTTCAAAATATTATTTTATCTAATTAATATATATATATATATATATATATATATATATATATATGGGATTGACTCCAGTCAGATGACATGTTTCGGTCAGATGACACTTTCGGTCAGATGACAATGCATGGCTCATTCTGAATCAATGTAGCGCTCATTCTTAAACAACGTAGGATTCATTCTCACACAACTACTCATCACAATGTAGTGTTCATTCCAAGCCAGCGAGACGACAACATAGGGTTCATTTTGAATCCACGTGGTGTTCATTCTAAGACATCATAGAGTTGATTTTCACACACTTGTTCATTATAAACGTAGTACTCATTCTGAAACAACCGAGTACTCATTCACAATCTGCTCAGAGTAGTGTTCATTCTAAAATAAGGTGGTGCTCATTCTCAAACAAGGTGGTGCTCATTCTGAAGCATGTCATCTGACCGAAAGTGTCATCTGACTGGAGTCAATCCCTATATATATATATATATATATATATATATATATATATATATATATATATATATATATATATATATAAAATACATACAATAGAATGGCGTTCTTTTCTCTCTCTATAGCTCCTTTCCACCGGCGATGGCGTCTCTAACTCTTCAGCGATGTCGGATAACTTTCGTCCCTTCGCTGATGTTGGTTCCCCCCAACACCCGCCGGCGAAATTCAAGGGTTTGCCCTCAATTTCATTCACTGATGAGGAGATTCATAGATTATCAGGTAAGTTTCGCAGATCCCTTGTCGGTAGCTTCAACGAGAGAAGGCCTCCTCTTATTTTAATCCGTAAGACCCTTGAGAAAATTGGATTCTCAGATTCGTTTAAATTGGGATTACTTGATGATTCTCATGTTCTGCTGCAATTTGAATCTGAAACTGATTTTCTCCGTTGTTTATTGAGAAACCGATGGAATATTGGTTCCTCCTATATGCGAGTTTTCCGATGGACTGCAGATTTCGACCCCTCGGTGGAATCTCCTCTAGTCCCAGTTTGGGTAGGGCTAGAGGGACTGCCAATCCATCTCTTTGACAAACCCACCCTTTTCTCCATTGCTAAACTATTTGACTCTCCACTGCAAACTGATGCAGCCACTGTGAATTTGAGTAGGCCTAATGTGGCCAGAGTCTGTGTGGAGGTTAACCTTTCAAAGGAACTTCCCAAGGCTATTTGGATACACTTAGGTAGCTCATCCTACCTTCAACCCCTTCTTTTTGAAAATCTGCCATCCTATTGTAACTCCTGCCATCAATTGGGTCACAAGTCCTGCAAATCAGGCACCAGAAACTCTCGCTGGGTTAGGAAAACCAAGCCAAGAGGCAAGGCTGTGGCCCCTGGCCAACCGGTCTGTTTTCCTAGCAGCGCAGCTGTGCCAACCTCTACTACCCCCATTATCTTTGGTAGCTTTGAAACTGGTCACCAATACGTCACAACAAAGGACATAGGGCCATGCCCTACAATGAGCAAGAATGGTCCTCCACCACGTTTGGACAGTACTGCTTTGGCCCCTACAACTGATGCCAACTTGACTTTAAATGGCCCTCCCCTTACAGGTTTGGACAGTACTCCTTTGTCCCTCCCAACAGATGCTAATTTGGATGCCTCCTACTTGGAATGTGCTCAACACCAAGATACCAAAGACAGGCCATTACTGATTGGTCCTTGTGAGCTTGCATTCACGAAAGAAGGACCCTCCTACCCCGTTGAACAGGATTTGTCACCCCAGATCCTCCCCCAATCTCAAAATGATGGTTATGACCCAAATCATACCGATGAAAATATGAGAGCACACGAGACTCACCGTGAGTCCTCGGATGGCACTCCATCAGACACTATGGTCCCTCCCATTGGAAATGATGATGCTTTATCTGATCCATCTACCCACACCAAAGTTCATGCTGGAAAAGATGACGAGGCCGGTAAGGATGCTCTCTCCGAGGCAGAACCAGTTTCACCCCACACCCAGGAGGAGGATACTAACATTTCTTTTGAGCCTAGGTCTTTTTGCAGATATATCAAGGTCATTGAAGAACGAAGCATGTTGGCCATGTGTGCAGCAATTGTCCCGTGGCGGAGGCTATGTGGGCCAAGTCACAATCGAATGTCGTGGGCGCTTGTGTGTTGAATGCACTATAAGGCTAGGGTATGCGCCTCTTCTACCACCAATTGGTTTTAGAAGAGTTGGTAGCGCTTAAGGTCCTACAAAGCAGCCCTCGTTACAAGAATTCCAAAAATTGAGCTTCACGGAGCAAATTGCAGAACTGAAACGAGGTCACCAACAACTCAACTTCATGCAACCAAAAACTCCATTTCAATCAATACAAGGTATAGGTCCAAAACTTGACGATGCCAATCTTTTCGAAGTCGAAGTCCTTCAAGACCATGATGAAAATGAAACTCATGAAGAAAGCGATCCTGAAACTCCAACCATTGAAATCCGCCATAAAGGAGAACCTCCTGACATGACGATCCAGACGCGCAGTGGTCGCGTTCCATATGCGGGGTGTGGCCAAAATACTCGCAGGAGGGGGCGTGGAAGACGCGGCAACCACAACCCATCCTAGTCCTTTTAAATTATCTTTTCACTTTCTATTGCTATCCACCTGTTTTGGATAGTATTATTTCCTTTTTGGGGGCTTTGGTCTAGTCCTCCCTCTTTTTGTATCTCTCCCCCCCCTCTTTCCCATTAATAAACATCACCTTTTAAATATATATATATATATATATATATATATATATATATATATATATATATATAAAATATATTAATCATAGGTCAAACTGTCAAAGATTAAAACCGTTGACTGAAAAAAGTTTAAACTGGATAAATACTCAGGGACGGATGTAGTATATACCATCATTGGAGCACATAGATGAGAGAGTAGGTGTATAAAAGATTATTTTATTGTATGACTTTATTTATACGTTTATTAGATAGTTCTCACTTCCACCATTCTCCTTATATTTATAACATAGGAGTCCCATTGGCACCGACCCCAGTTGACACTACAGTGCGGCTGTGGTTTTGGAGAATCTACAGTGCTTTGTTTCTTAAATTGATGATTCTTACCTCTCCCCCACCCTAGTCTGGCCCAAATCCACCCCCAACCTTTTTACTTTCATTTTCAAAGTTTTCTTGAAGACGAAACTTTGGGGATAAAATTGAAGAGGTTGGGGTGGTAGATTTGGGCCGGATCACGACAAAAGAGTTTACCAAGAGTGTTAGGGGGGTAGGAACTAGCAATCATTAATTTTACAAAATATAAAAACAAAACATCATAGATATTTCAATTGGAGTTGGCATCATCCGTTGACAAATGTTTGTCAACGGAACCTAGTCGTTAATAATATAAAAGTTTAGAGCACCTGAAAGTATGATCTAAGAGAGGACTCGAGATGAAGAGAGCCAAGATGATGCGCACATGTTTGCCGCGAATAGGGTGACAATAAGATAGATGATAGAAACATATAGTGTTAAAAACAATGAAAATTGATTTATTTATGATTATAGGAGTGAATATATTGGTTGGATGTCATTAGAGGATTATATATCTCGATGTACTTTAAAAATTGAACATTTAATATTTGAAATGAGATAATGCATATTTTCAGCTCTAATCAATAGGATTTTAAGCTGTGTTCCATTCGCTTGATCTGATCTGATTTTTTGAAATTTTGATCTGATTTGGTCTGATCTGATCTAATCTAATTGGATCTGATCTGATTCAATCTGATCTGATCTGATTGGATCTGATCTGATCTGGTCGGATTGGATTTGATTTGATATGAATTTGATTAAAATTAAAATTAAAATTTTTATTATAATAAATATAATAATAATAATAATAATAATAATAATAGAAATAATAATAATAATAATAATAATACTAATACTAATAGTAGTAATAATAATAATAGTAATAATATTAGTAATAATAATAAAAACTATAATAATAACAATAGTACTAATAATATAAGTAATAATAATAGAAATATTGATAATAAAAGGAATAATAATAATAGAAGTAATAATAATAGTAATAATAAAATTAATAATAATAATAATAATAACTATAATAATAATAATAATAATAATAATAATAATAATAATAATAATAATAATAATAATCTTACTCTTTACAAAAGCAAAAGGAAAATTTTTCCACTCAAATTTTCAGGTATTAGTGGGCCTGGTAACTTAGTGTCATGGGCTTTCCTTAAAAATATGGGCTGGGACAAGTTTCATAATTGATTTTTATGTCAGAATACATATGAACTGCTTTTTTTTTGTTGTTTAAAACACATACAACTTCATTTTGTTGATAGTTACCACTTCATTAATTATTAAACTATTAATTTAATTCTTCTAGATCTACACTAGAAAAAACTTTTAGATGTAATTAAAATTAACTAATAAAATCAAAACTGTTTATTTAAGTCATTTACTTTTTTCAGTATGATTAACCTGATTTAGTTGTATTAATAAAAATGATTTAATTAAACTAATTTTGTAAAAATGTCTTATTGATAATATTAATTAATACCGATTGTTAAAAAGCAAATAGAGTGGAAGAGAAAAAAATACTGAAAGAGAAAAACTTACAATGGTGTGTGGTTAGTGTGCAAACGTGCAATATAAAGAACCATGATATTAATTCATTTAAATTCATTTATCAATTACATATTAATTCAATTAAATAATAATTCATGTAAATGAACTCCATTTATTAAACTAATTAAAATTTTTTGGGACAAATTAACTCATTAAATTTATTTGATTATTTTATTGAATTGAAATTATTTGTATTATCTAAAATTAAATATTTATTTAAAATAACATAAATATTATTATTTTTAACCTTTCATAATCTCAAAGAATAAATTTTTGTTTTTAACTTAGATATGCATACTCGAATCATGATTTATGTTCTTTTCCTTTGATTAATTAGCATACTACACTACAATGCACCCAAAAAATAGAACAATATGACTAAAAATCGTATAGTTTAATTATGGATCATGTAGTGTTTATAGCAATGTCATTTGACACACTTAGGATCTATTCTTTAGGCTGAAAACAATAGATGCATGTTAGAAAAAAAGAGAAAAAAATTGGAAGACGGAAAGACTAGAAGAAACTCGAATAAACTAGAACAATATGACTACAAATCTTATAGTTTAACTAGTGTTAACCCCGTGCTTCGCACGGGCTCGTATATATTCTAAATTTCTGATATTGTATAAATATAATTTTAGTTGTTTTAGTTTTTTAATAGTGACAAAATATATTTTAAACTGGTTGTATATATATATATATATATATATATATATATATATATATATAGACACACAGACACACTATGGAGTATATTTTACAACGACGAAATATATTTTATAGAATTATTAAAAAATGAAAAAGTTTTATGCAAATTTATTCAAAGATCTTTTAAAAAAATCAAAATGGACCAATAAATTGAAATGCATAAATCCACATCATTAGTGAGTGCACATGTGGATGCACATGTGGCATGCCACATGTCAACACTACAACAATTGAACTCTCTTTTACATATAGAACTAGTTGTTTATCCCGTGCGAAGCACGGGCTCGGGATGTATGCACGTGTTTGTTCCATGAAAATTAGTTATTGTCTATTATGCAAATTAAGTTTTCTTTGGGTAGTCGATTTTCTTTTGCAAATACAATTCAAGAATTAAGAATTATAATTGATGTTCACAGAATTTAGAAGTAATAGCCAAAACGCAATATTTTTAGTATGCTCCTGGGATGTCAATTTTTGCCATTTAGTTCATGTGTTTTTTATGAAATGATTATTTAAGTTTATATATTCCCAAGTAATTTTAAATATAAGAGGACTAAATTAAAGGTTCTCTAAAAATAAGAGTGTTACTCTTAAGAGTTTTGACGAAAGCCGGGTTGAGGTGAAGAAAAGAAGAAAACTTTTTCTTGATGAATTACTCAAATACTGTGGTATGAGAATGTATCTTAAATAGTCTCAGTTGTAATAAAGAAACAACCTAAGCTAAAGAGCAAAGTAAAAGAAAAACGGTGTCTTAAAGTTGATCTATTATTACAAAATCATGCCATAGTGAATTTGGCATTAAAAAAACCACCATTAAAGGTAACGAAGGTAGTTGCTATCACCAATTTTTCTTTATTATAGGGCATCAATGATTATTTGTATAAATAAATCTCCATGTCAAACGACTTTCATCTCCATTAGGCCTGTTTTTGATACCTGAATAGTGTTGTAGCAGATGCTTGGAAAATAGAACAAAGAAATACAAAGCCCACACTAACATTGAAGATAAAAAACATAAGGATGTGAGTAAGGGCATCTAAGTATTTTTTGATATTCGTGTTGTTTAAGTTTTTTTTAGTATAGGAAATTGTTTCTTAAAAATACACCATTAAAGAGTTTTAAGGAAGAGTGCATAAGAGATGAGATTAACTTACATTGTTATTTGAATCATGAAGCAGTAAAAATCCCTTGTCTCTTGCTTGCTAAATCTTGGATATTTGAAAAGTAAAACAAACATCATAATAGAGTGATGAGACGATAAGGGAGAGGAATCACAGACATTATAAGAGATTATCAAAAACAGAAATTAATTGAGGGTTCATAATTTTAATAATGATGCCAAAGTACCGTGTTAAAATAATACCCACATTGTCCTAAAATAAGCATATAAATAAATACATTATGAATAGGAAACTATTAATATTTATAAAATAACAAGATGCATTAGGAAATATGTTTCACAATTGATCAGGAAGACAAAATGAAATGACATACAGAGTGCTGTTATTTTTTAAAAAAGACTTAGAAATAAATTTTTTTAGAATATGTAATTCCTGTGAATAGAATGAAATAACAGTGGAGACATGTGTCTATGTATTTACCTATGTATTATGTCCAAAGTAATAGAATTAAATGAAACAAATGGAGGCAGTAGATGTGTCTATGTAATTACGTATGTGTTATTAAATTTTTAAAAATAATTTAGGCGGGAATATCTTGCATGTTATGTATTAGTTGATGGTATATAACGGGATGCCCATGGGTGAACACATGATTGGGGAGGTAGATCCCGACATGATTCAAGGATTGACCTTGACTTTTATTTATTGTCATGACGTAGCATATGCACAGGGGATTATTCAAAGTCGTCCTCAGATATGGCTAAGTTAGACTTGAAAAGCAGGTCTGAGAATCTGTATGAAGGAAAAAAATGGAGGGAGCTATTTTGGTCCAACTTTAAGGTAAATTACAACTTGGAAGTTTTGGGAGGGTGGACTTATAGTTGCATAACAAACAATCTTCCCTTACCATCTCATGCAGGTCTACGTAACCGCTCTTTTTAACTGTTGACATAAAACGATATCAAAGTGTCAGGTGTTCAGAGACAACATATGTTCTGGAAAAAATCCTATGAAACTTACCTGCCGTGTGCCGTTTAGATTATGTAGTTTCTTCACCAAAACAACACCAGGTGACACTTTTGTATGCCGTGTATCCTGGAAGAATTTTCGAACATCTTCAAGTGTAGAGAGTTGATATGCCTATGCAATATATTCAATCAAGAACAGGAAAAAATATCAGTACTTGACTTCAAATGCATTTTTTTTTTGTTTTTCTTAAATTTGTAATGGGGTTTCCTTCCAAAATGTAACCTTCAATTGAGGCCATTAGAAGGTAATGTAGCTGTTTATTTAAAAAAACCACATTGGCCTTGGTTTTAAGGTGTAGTCAGTTCTATAGACCACATCCTTTAGCAACCCATCGACGGAGTGGGGGGGGGATCTGTCATGATCGGAATCAGCAAGAGCCATAAATGAAAAAAATAGAAATATAAGCAAAGCACAGTGAGGCACATGTACTCTTAGGATGATGTGATTTGTAGTTAAATTTCAGGTTGTAACTCTCTACATTTAGGTCTCTATTATAATTGTAATTCAAGGTAAATTGGCTAATTTTTTGGGGAACTAAAGAAGGTAAAAGAAAGTAATAGTGATTGAGTTTTGGATAAAGTCAGGATGTATTTTTATGCTGGTGCTTTGGATGTGAGAAGCGCAGACACTCATCTGGAATTTTCTCAGTTTCCTCTATAAGGGCAGTCCAAGCACCGGCAGTCCAATTCCCAATTTTCTCAGTTTCCTCTAATGTTCTCACTTCATCCATCCCTATTTAATCTTCCCATTCCGGATTATCACATTTTACTGAAGTTTTTATCAATTCAATTTATGCAAAAATTGGAATAAAAATTTAAAATGAAGTTTCTATTTTTAAATACTACATCAAAAGTTCCACATAAAAAAGATGACAGGACTGTTATTTTACGTAATGATCTAGGGAAATATATGTAAAAAAGTAAGATATAGCTCGAGAGTGTGAACAGTAAAGGGGATCATTAAAAGGGAATAAGGGAGTAATTAAATTTTGGATGTTCACCACATAGATAATCACAGAATATATTTGGTTAACAGAACATGCTCCCTGATTCTAAACATACCAGAATCATCCACCACCGGCTGATGCATTGTGGCAGAATTATGATTAGAAACTTCGTATTTGACTTGAGTGGGGTGTATTCTTAAGCTTAGGTTTAACGAAATCCACCTTCTTACGATCACGAAAATTAGTTTCTCCAAGTTTTAGAAAACTGGATGGATCTGTTTCGCTCCAAATGCAAGGAAAATTACAACTTCTCTTATGCTCACTTCTTTTATTCAAACTGTCAGGTGTTCAGTATGTTCTGGGAAAAGTCATATGAGACTAACGTGCAATAACATGCAGTTTCTTCACCAAAACAGCAACATGTGACAATTTTGTATGCCGTGTATCCTGGAAGAAAGAAATCGACAAACAATTAAATTGTTGAATTTCAAGTGCAAAAACATCTGCAAGAGCAGTTGAGGCTAGTAAACGGGCATTAACATCATACAGATCAGCAATCAATGAAATTGTTAACTTCATGGATGTGTAGAGAAATGTTTGTCCATGACCAGCATGATGTTTTGACTTAGTTTATAGTTATAAGGGTTGCATAAGTATAGCATGACCAGCATCCTTATGCTTCCCAAAGTCAGATGGCGCCTTTACAACTTCCGTACCACGCTTCCCAAAGTCAGATGCCCAACCATTATTTAAATGTAGTTAGTTAGACGTAAATTATTAGCGTGATGAGGTTTTATGTATGTTTGGAAAGAGTGAATGGAGATATTCTACATGCTACATGGTTTTGGAAATGGTAATCTTTTGGTTTGGGTTTAGGTCTTTTTTTTCTTGTTGGTTGTGTTTTGGGCTTGGATGGATGTACCTGATTTTGAAAATGTAATACAAAGTATCAATTCTATTTTTTAGTACTATTGACTCTATCACAATGAAATGCATGGGAATATGAGAGAAAATATAGAAACTAAATTTTTGTGGACTGACGTTATTCAAACACCAAAAGTTCAAGTCCTTCCAACATTAGAAACCAATCTCCATCCCATGCCTTAGCATGAAACACAAAAAACATAAATTAATCTGAATTTCTCTAAACAAATAAAAAAAGAAAGACACAACGTACATAGACATAAACATAGTTTGGTTTCATTGCCCTTAAATTCAGGATGCTTTATTGAACGTTCTTACCTTGGCAGTGCATTGTACCCCAGGTTTAGTGCATCCCAAGCTGCTTCAATTTAAGCAGAGCCGGCAGGGCATTTCCCTGCAATTTTGTTTTGATTTTTACCATAGTACTTTTCAAGTGTCTAATGCAGGCCTGCAGGTCCAGATACTTCACTCTTATGGATCTTTCTTAAGCAACTTTTTAGTGATTGAATAATAGAGGTAGCATTGAGGATATATAGTTTTTAAGAAACTTTTTAGTGATTCAATAACAGCCAAATAACATTTTATGCAAGCACGTAACCATTGTTCTAGAGTAAAAGTGACGAATGAAATTTTAGATGTTATGGTCAGTACATGGCGTCAAACATTGATAGAGTTTTCAGATTCTAAACGATCACATCTCCGTGGTACATTAGGCGGTCGTCAACACCTGGAGAGTCTCACTAAAGAGGGCATGGAAGGTGAAGAAACATCGTTTATAAGAAAACCTATGGTAAACGGTAAATTAATCTTAATAAACTACTCAGGAAGATCCAACTCATTTGAAAGGGCCATGTCATACTACATGGCGACTCCACACGTATATTAACCTGATGAAAACTTCAGCCAAAGGTGTGATAGGCCCAGGGAACCCCTATGTTATTGAATTAGAATGGATAAGGTACAAAAAGAAGGGGGTGGGCAACACCCCAAACAAAAGCTTTAAAGGATAAAAAAGGCCTAAACCTTAGCATAGGAAAGTAAATACACTAATAAGAAGGGAAAGAAATTGGAAGTTAAAGCAAAAACATAAGAAAGGAAAGAGTGTTGCACTGTTAGAGCAAGGATCTATCCTTTATAGATTAATATTAATATCACTCAATATTTGAGTTGCAAAAAAAAAGGTTACCCAAAGGAGGAAGAAGGCACTTGGGAGCTGTGTGAATGCCAACTAAAACAACCTCGCCACATAGACATTCTCAAGATGGAATGAGAGTTGTACACCAAATAGGCTAAGCCAAGGTGCCTTCTAGAGAGGATCTATGTGCATTCTTAGCATCCAAAACGTAAGAGCAAATCAAATGAGTTGTTGGAACAGAAGAAAAAGTAGTCTTAGATGAATTGTTCATATATAGTAGCACCCTAAGAGCAATTATCCATGGTAGTAGCAACACTACCCTTCAAATAACACTATTTTGATGTTAGGTAACACTCATCTTCATATAATATAAAGTACAATCACAAATGGGATTTCACAAATAAGTTAAAGAAATATGAATCATTTAAATCTTAAGAAATAAGAAGATAGACGAAACATATGACAAATAGTGTTTAATAGATATAAACCAAGCTCACAGAAGGGATACCAATCGTGACAGCTTCTCCTTTGGTTAACTCTGCAGGGATGCCTAGAATAACACCCTACACAAACAAATACCAAACTAAATAATGAAAATTAATTGCTAGAAATTGACCAATCATATGCTACAGGGGAAGAGATAGCAACTGGAATCAATTAATCAAAATTCCCAACATAGATGACACAAAGCAAATTAATTATTAGTGGAACCCTAAATTATAATTTGAACTTCAGAATTGAAGGAGAAGAAGCTGTGTTAGAGCTGCGTCTCTCCTGGCTTGGTGGTTTGTTCATCGCTCCACTGACTCTCCCCGAACCACCTACTGGGGTTGATCCAACTCTATGGTTCCTCGATTCTAAGCAGGAGCTACATTGGCAGAGCTCGTCACTGGTCAGGACAGTGGCAGCATCAACCTTTTGCAATGCTAAAAGATAGATTCAAGTTGAAAGACTTCAAGCAACAGTGTGATGAAATGCCTTTGTGTACTTAAGTGCAGCCCGACGGGAAGAAACGGAGACCGATCATCAGTAATGAAAGAAGCAGTTGGTTGTAATTATGATGGCAAATTCATTCATGGAAATGTGTTTGGCCAAAAACAAAGCGTTGGCCAATAAGGTTTGCAATAATAGCAGGTACTTCGCCCATAGAAGCTTCACTCTGAAATAGTTGAGGAGTACATTTTTTAAATGCTTTGCATATGACCTACGAAGTGAAACACTTAAGAAGTATTTCCAAATCTTAATACCTCCTCCAGTTTCTCTTGCATATCATATATGCTAATGGCAGATTGTCCTATCATATCATCAAACACAATGAACTTCGTACAATCTGCAGCATCCTTCACTCAAAACTTAATTCAAAATCTGCAGATGCACACAATTTTTTTAGTTCATTCGTAAAGAAATTGCTTTCATTACTACGTCATATGCATTATTGTGTTTGGAATTTGTAGTCAGGCTGTGTGTATCACCTGATTGACAATGTTAACATGTGATGATTCTATCATGAGAAATGCATAAATTTTACCTTAGAATGGAATCATCACTGTCTTATTACACTTCTTGCACCAAAAACTTCGACCGCACGCCTTAATTATTCCCTTGCAGCCACATGAGTTGTAGTACCATCCATTATTATTGTGGATGTCATATATTATAGCAACACAAAATAGTAGTGTGCCTTGTACATGTGTAAGATAAAGTTTTTTCAAGTCAGAAACAAAATTACTACTTTATGTATGCAAAGGAATGAGACAGATTTAATGTCATTTTATTACATCTTTAAAGTCTGTCTTTGTTAATTCTAAAAGCTCGCCAATGGTTTTCAAATTGCTTAAAACGGCATGTCTATCGACCTCTTGTTTCTCGATGATAAGCGGTTGAATTATATGTCCCCTTGGCAAAGAACTGCAGCGGTTATTCACATTTGGAAAGGTTATGGAATAGTGAAATTTGCACTAAATAGGACTAAAACATAATGACTTTCCTAATGTAGGACTTAAACTTTTTTATTCCCTAAATAGGACTAAATAATGACCTCGTGGGAGGATTAATGTCCAGTAATGCTAGACATTTACTTGATTAATGACTACTTGTTAATGACCAAAAGTCCTACATTGGGAAATAAAAACAAATGGTCCTATATTGGGAAAGTCATTATGTTTTAGTCCTATTTAGGTAAATTTCTCTATGGAATATCATTTCTAATATTTGATGATTGGAAAATATAAACACTAAATACCCACTCTTTTTTTAAGGCAAGAACCTCATCAATGTCAAGGTCTAAATAAATCTTTGTAGCTGTAGTTGATGAGAAAACAGCATTATTTGCAATCAAAAAAATCAATTCAACTTCAGCAACCAAGTGCATAGCCGCCATATGTATAATAAAAAACAAAAAACCCTTACTCATGTATTTCTTGACCAAGGTTGACGTGAAAACTCCAACAATGAACTCACCAGTTAAAATGTATTGTTCCCCCATTCTAGACCAAAGCTTGGGTATTGCTAATGTTGGTATTCCCAGGGAGTCTTTTGAAAGAGATCTAACAACTGTATTTGCATAAAGTTGAATCATCCATGGAGATGCAGAATTCTCGTAGGCCATTTGATTGATCAAGAGTGGAGCCAGGGCCGAAGAAGGCAAGGTTAACTGAAGATCCACCCACGGATCGTATATCGAATGGAGGAAGTTTGATACAGACACGCTTGGAGGCCGCCAGTCAGGCAGTTGCAAGATTCAGAGCTAGCGAAAGGACAGGAGATTCGGAGAACAGTGATTCGGGTCGTGGATCGTATCCACAACCACAGCAGCAACACAATCATGAGGAGCTGGTTAGTCAGTATAAGACTGCTTTGGCCGAACTGACTATCAATTCGAAGCCAATAAACGCACCTAGGATTACATAGAAACAACATTAACTGCCCATAGCACAGCCCCTCCGACGTCTCGCCTGCGAAAACGGATGGAATTGAAGTGCAACTGAGCACTGCTGGAAGAAGAAACGGATGGAATTGAAGTCGCGAGAAGCATGGGCCGAGGAAGAGAAGTTGCAGATCTATTACCCTTCGGTGATGTGGCAGCTGAGTGAAGAAAATTTAATCCATCTCAGCCGCTTAGTCAGTATACACGTGGCAACTCCACAACTAATAAACCCTACTTTATATATATACTAGTTTTCTACCCCGTGCTTCGCACGGGCTCGTGATTTATGCGTGTTGGCATTTTTTTAAATGTATATTAAAAAAATGTAGAAGAGTGTAAGAACTTGTAGAAGCCCATGAGGAGAGTGTAGTTCTTTTTTTCTTTTCCTTTTTTGTCTTCTAGTTTAGAGAAAAAATCCAATATTATAACCAAACTCCAAGCTCTCATGCTCCAACGACTACAACACGACAACACCAATTATCTCAATCCAAAATAACGATTAAAGCAAAATCTGCCATCCAATAGCCAAACAAACCAAAAAAACATTCTTACCAATATTCAAACTTATTAAACTCAAGTGTAGTTTCAACAAAGGACAACCTGGTCAAAATTTGAGTATAGATTTTGGTACCAAGGTGTAACAAACAACAATTGTATATACATCCTCCAACTTCATCACCAATAATTTAGCCAAATCTAAGACTCTTCGAAGCAAACAGAAACAGAATCAAACTACAAATAGAAGTTGCACAACCAAATAGAATTAAACTTTTACAGGTAGACCTTGTTAGCAAAATATCAAGCTTTCTTTTTTCACCTATTTAATAAGTGATTATATATAGTAAACCAAATCATATTTGACAGCTAAACCCCAACATCTATATTCATAGATTGTAAAACCATATGATTGGGTTTGAAAAAGAGTAAATGAGATAATTAGTACTTTTCCAGCCAAATGTCATTGATATTGAACTGCCAAGAGACATTATACCTACTTTTACAACACCAACATTTCAGCCTTGAGTTGGTTTAGAGTAATAATGTTTTTCAACAAAACTAACTTCAATTTCTTCATAAATACATGTAATATATGAGAGTAAATTCATTCAAAAGCTAGAATTCACTTTTGAAAATGAAATAAACACACGTAATTACCACTGATCAAGTGTATCTTCTTCTTTTTCTTTGATTAGCACTTTGGTAAATGTAATTAACAAAGGATCTCATGTAGACCAAATTTTTTTAATGCAACTGATTTTGAATTATAATTCTTCTATTATGAACTTGAGGCTTTAGAGTTCTGGAGAATTTTCTTGAAAGATCAAATATGGGTGAATAAAATATGGATATGGGAAGATGTTTCATCATTCGGTCAGTATAGCATAGACGCTTTTACCAAATCAATTATTCAATCAATAAACGAATTAAACTCACCAACCTTAATTCTTGGTATAGAAAATATGCTCCTGACCCCTCAATGGAACAACACAGCTGTACAAATAAAATGGGAGTGAAAATAATGAATATGTTGTTCAAGGCATGTGCATTATTTTTCAATAGAACATTTAAGTTTAGCATTGCAAAAAATAATTTGACTTTACCTTCTTATGAGAAGCGTGGTCACCTGAGTAATAGGGAGGACTTGTTAGTAAAAATGATGATAACTTTCAACTCGTAATGATACAACATAACAGTAGTGTTCAGTTTTGCAAACACAATAACATTTTTAGCTACACATGGAAATAACAACCCATGAACAAAAAATCTATAGACATAAAATCTTAACAAATTTGTCTAGATAGATTGTAAAATGGGAGAGAATAAGGTAACAAAGATATTAAAAAATGGGGAAAACAATGGAAAATGTAAATTTTGTGATGATAGATTGTACCTTCCAAATTCTCATATTCTGTACAGCAAGTATGGCATGATTTTTAAGGTCATTAATATGTGGTTCCATCCTATACCTTTGAAGGTGAACAACATGGGCAAGAGTTAAGTATCGGTAGTGTTAAAACATTGCAGCTGCATAAATTATCAATTAATAGCAAAAAGTAGTAAGATGATATATGAATTAAATATATAAGATATGAAGTGCAAGAATCCCATTTTTTAAGAGGCCCTGCCATGATTTATCCTAGGTTAGTGTGATGACTTGGGTCCAGCCTGACACGCAATTGCTCCCTCATAACCTCGAAAAGTACACTTGGTGTTAAGTTCAACCTAGTTAAGAAGTAGAAAAGAAAGAAAAAGAATTTAATTAGAATAGACTACAATGCATGTGACAAAGGATCACATCATTTATTCAAAATTTTAGGATTATATGGCAATACACACATTTCATAGTTACCATAGCTAGAAAGGAAAAGATCAAATGAAATTGAATTATGAAATTGAAATGAAAAAATGCACAAAGAAAGAAAAAGGTGCATGAAAAATACCTGCGATTTTTCCCTCTGCTTTTTGCAGTAGCACCCATCAGTCCATAGTTACACACATTTTAAGAATTCTGTGGCAATATGAAATTGAAATGAAAAAAATGCATAAAGAAAGAAAAAGATGCATGAAAAAAAAATCTATGATTTTTCCCTCTGTTTTTTACAGTATACCCATCAATTTGCAAAAACTCACAGCCCAGTTGAGCTTTACACTCTTATATTGCAGCTGTAGGTTACCCGTGTTTGAAAACCAAATATTAGAGTTTAAGATCAAATTATAGTAATAAAAAAAATTTAGCTGAAGTATTCGATGCTTAAACATACCAAAGTAGATATGTGATCAGAAGGGATTAAAATGAAAGTTTAATATCTAGGTAATAAGTGGTGTATTAAATGGATTAAAACAAATCAAGTGCCTCTTCCTTTTATTGTGTCAAACACCTTTGAGATGTGAAAATAGATTCTCGTAGTCTAAGAGTATCAATATGAAATTGAAATGAAAAAAATGAAAAAAGAAAGAAAGAAAAGGATCCATGAAAAATACCTGCAATTTTTTCCTCTTCTTTTTGTAGTAGCACCCATCAATTTGCAACAACTTGTCCCCCGATTGAGCCCTTCATTCATGTATTGCAGCAGTAGGTTCCATGTCTTTGAAAACCAAAGCATTACGGTTTAGGATCAAAGCAAAGGAATAACTAAAACGCACATGAGGTATTCGGTGTTTTAGCATACCAAAGTAGATATGTGCTTAGAAGGGGGATTTATCCCTTTAGTACAACTCTTGGAAATGGCCTAAGATAATATCCTTGAAAAAACTATGAAAATAAATTAAAAAGGCATAACGGTTAGGGATTCTTATATTTATAAGCCTAAAAGTGTTTGCTATACACATCTAAGGGATTCTTTAAAAGTGAATACTATATGCACTCTCACCATCTTAATTAATAGTAATGACATTAAGCAAGTGAAAGCACCATTAACAAAGCACGCAGAAGTAACGAAATTAGAAAAAATTATAAACTTGTAGGAGATGTTAAGCTTCACTAAAGAGTTCATAGACATGTTTATAGGTATAGAGACATTTTGTAATGTATAGAGTGTAAAAGAGCATTAAGTAGATTAAAACTACTCTAGCTGCATAAAAGATGCTTTTACTTCTAAACAATTGGGCACGCAAAGCGCATTATATCGTATATAATGAATATTATAATATTTGAACTCTTAAGATAAAAATAAGGTCATGCAAAGAATACTTTTTCTTAAGAATAATTTTTCTATGGAATAATTTTTTCTTAAGAATACTTTGAATCCTGAGCGAGTCAATGTACCTAGCCATGACCCAGAAGATAGTTACGTTGACGGACATGCCGAGGCATGTTGTGCACGCTCATTGAAGGACATGTGGAGGACCACTCAAGAACCTGATTTAGACTTAGAGGCCGTCATTTTGAGAGAAGTTACAGATTCAGGGTCAGCTACGACAACTACCGCTGCACTGAAGATGGTGAGAGTTCATATCTACTCCACAAAACCTTTTCATCTCCTATTTTTTTTTTCCAATTTAAGAAACTATGTTAACACTCTATTAATACGAATTAACTCCACCTACAGCTGCTACCAACACCCAATACAGCAGCATAATCTTCTATGTGTTGTGTGCCAAAAAGCTTCAATCCTGTGCAACAACTCCAATCGGCAATCGTCAACCTGACTTACCAAATTCTAAAATAAAACCTATGAATCCACAAACAGTCCTATGTGCTCTACCCAAGTCAACTGCTTTTCCCAGCTTCAAAAACCTGACTTGTACTTGATTCAAATCTACCTTATTACCCTGGAAATACTAAACCAGTCCACAGAAACAGTGAGTCCTAATAACTTCTAAAAAGTCAATCATATAAAGCCCTTGTGAACTGTTTCTAAAGCTGCTGAAATCCCTTTGTCAATTCCACAGTTACATTCGATATTGCAGCCCCTCAACATCACATATGGCAGCCTCTCAACCTCAACTTTTGCAGCTCCTCAGAATCTATGAATAAGCTGCAAAACTTGGATTTATAATATACCATCTACCTATTTTCACGAACAACTCATCTTGTCCATGTGTCTTTTATGTTAGACCAAGTTTTATACAGTTTTATGTGTGTTCAAAAGATAGAAAAAGACTTACAAAAAGAATAAGGAGATGATCGAGTCTCCATCATATGATTCATGAATTGAGTTTAAAGAATTTAGCTAGCAGGCTAGGGAAGTACTACGTTGTTTTTGGATAGAATTCATGATGATTAGCAGAATGTGCTTCTTGGCTTTATATTTGCATGTAGGAGCATACATATAAATTCACAGTGGATAAAATTAGCAATTCGTGATACCATCGGATACATGACAATTTGGGGGAAGCGTGGGTGCAATGGAAAAATATTAACAAAAAAGCCAGACTGAAGGATGCCAATGAGTAGAACAGAAGGTATACATACCAAGGAGTAAAATTTTGATTAAGCTATTATAGCATCATAATAGAGGTTTCTACTTCCATGATTTATATATAGTCTGCACAAAAAATCAAACAAATTAGGAAGTTCTACTAAGTAAACACCACTGTAGAAAAACATTAAAGAATGTAGAAAGCTCTACTAAGTAAACACCACTGTAAATAAACATTAAAGAATGAACCAATTGTCGAACATATAAATTATCAATATGAGTGCAAGCTTAGAAAAACCCTGACACGAAACCTCAAGGCTGTCATAAATGGAGAGTGGTGTCTAGCACCATTGAGTAGAATAGAAGGTATACATATCAAGGGGCTGAGTATCGTTTTGATTAAAGCGCTGTTATAGCATCATAAGAGAGGTTTCTATTTCCATGAATTATTATTAATCTGCATAAAAAAGCAAATAAATTAGCCAATTACACACTGATAGAACGGCAATACTCACAAATCAGCCAAAAAGCCCCCAACAAATTGTATGAAATACTCAGCAATGCTCAATTACACTCCAACAATGCTCATGTGAATACCTAAAAGCTTTCCCACTCTCTTTTTCTAATAAATGTTAATCATTACACATCCTAATAATTGGAATTCAAGGATCCTAAACCCATAGCCGTTTCAATTGTAAACTCTTATCAATACCATCAAATATATAATAAATGCAAAAGATAACCCAAAAGACTCTTGAAACTGTGGATTCTATGCCGGCAAGGGATATGGGCGGGCTTAGTCGGGCGTAGAAGTGCGATGAGAAGAAAGAAGCTGAACATTCCATGCAGGCGAGGGATACGGGCGAGCTTAGTCAGAATTTCTATGCCGTGTGATGAGAAGAAGCTGACCGATTTTCGCCCTTCAGTTCAGTTCTTCAAACCTAAACATCCGTTAAACCTCCTGCTCTCCTATGCATTTAACCCTCTTGATGACTAAGCGTAAAAAGACACATGGAACGCCACGTAGGATGGCACATGTCGTAACAACAATTAAACCGCTCTGTAAATTCATGCAGAGAATTGATACTTTTTATATAGACAAACTAACAATGAGGAGGTAAATACATGCATCTGATTTCAATTTTAGATTTTGTATTCATCTTTTTGTTGATTAAAAACACCATTATTTGGTGTTCCCCTTAGTGGCCATTCAGTAGAGATTTGATACATTTTTATATAGTCAAACCATTGAACCATCATTTAGAAGGATTACCTCCTTTGCTGCCAAGGTCTCCCACGAATATGATATTTCCCTTTTGCCATGGTCGTCTGCTTCCTCGAGTAACCCTAATTAGTGACAATTCAAAAGAGAAATAATACTTTTTATGTATTTTAAACCATAGCACCATCATGATTAGCTCCTTTGACGCATGGCCGTCTCTTCTCCCATGGGCCTTTTAGTTATAATCAACAAAATCATTAAAGAAAAATACAACACATAATAGATGAGAAGACACAGTTAAGAACTTACAAAGCACATCTCTAACATATAAACTGCAAAAAATCTCCCTATGGACGTTAATTGCAAGAAGATTGACCAACAGGAAGCTATAGATACCTTATAATTAAAAAAAATAACAAAATAAAAGAAATACCTAACCAACATCAATATTATCAAAGTTCTCAATTTCAATTGTTTCATTAATATCAAATGAAACATCAATAATATCAACACTCAATTTTCATAGCTTCAAGAGTTTGATTCTCATTTATGAAAAAAGTAAATATTTTATAACAAACTTATCAAGAGCCCCTTTTTGAAATTTGTTTAAACTTTCTAATTCTATTACTCATTTTAAATCAAAGCGTTCAAGAACAAAATGATAAACTTAAGAAATAAACTGGAACTTAAATATGTGAAAGGGGTCTACCAAGTCCATTTAAATTCTGAAAAAAATAAAAAATAGTCATCAAACAAATTATTCAATAGTCAATAAATTGAATTTGGATTAATTACTAAAATTTGAAGTTAGAAAATAGAAACATTACAACTATGCAAAGGAGACCAAAGTGATGACTGAAGATGGAAGCACCTTAAGCTCTCAATAACGAAGCAGTCACATTTTCACATATGCTAGATTTGCCAAAAATGTGGATGTGCCATATTGGAAAAAATAGAATTGAGGCCTTGAGGGTGGGAGAGGGAAGAAATCTGAGAAAGTATATTTAATTGTAGGTCTGTTTGAAAAATATTGAAAGACTAAGTTAATATAAGGGGTATATTTTGAGATTTTGAGATGATACCTAAAAGCCGTTTGGTGTTCATCATTTCATCGTTGCCCCTTTTCTCCTTGTGAGCATATCTAACATTGAAGGCATATCTAACATTGAAGGCGGGGCGGCCCTGGTCTGAGAAGACATGTCGCCGGTTAGTGGTGGTGACAGCGAGGAGGCCCTGTTACGTCTCTTCTCCGAACCAGCGACAAATTGAGGATGAACGGACGCAAGAGAGAATTGGGAAAAGAAACGCAGAATTGATAAAAGAACTGGCTGCAATTAGGGAATTGCAATTAGGGAATGTGCAAAGTCTTGTTCAATTAATTCTAACATGATTGCTGGCAGTCCAACTTAGCAAGAGTGAAGCCACGTCATCTGCCATGTGTCAACACCACAGCCAAAAAACCCTACTTTATATATATATATATATGATGATATATGATATATGATATGATATGATGATATATGATTATGGATCATGTAGTGTTTATAGCAATGTCATTTGACACACTTAGGACTTGTTCTCAAGGCTGGAAAAAAATAGATGCATGTTTGAAAAAAAGAGAAAAAAACTAGAACACGGGAAGACTAGAAGAAACTCGAATAAACTGGAAGAATTTGAAGAAATTAGATGGTACTGGAAAAACTAGAAAAATATAGAATATATAAAAAAAACTTTTGAAAATTGTCATTATTGTTAATTTATAGTTATAATTTATTATTATTATTATTATTATTATTATTATTATTATTATTATTATTATTATTATTATATTCATAATCACTTATTCTTAATTATCAATGTCTTTAAAATAAAACAAATATTGTCATTTTTCATACACAAAAAAATCTAATTTCTAAAAAATTCTTTAATTAGAATATAAAGTTAGTATAAATATTAAAATGTTAATTTTTTTTAAAAAAAAGTTATTGTGGTTGTGTTGCATCTTAATTTATTTATGTTGTATTTGTTTTAAAATAATATATTTTTAATTACACTTTATATATTACAAGATTTTATTTTAAATATCAAACCTATCACATAATGTGATCAAACCTATTTTTGTCTTTCATGATTAACATTATATTTGCATTGTAAGTTCTATTTTAGAAATAAAAACATAGAACTCCTAATTTTTTAAATATAGTTTAAAATTTGATGTTTTCCTTTTTTATCATGTAGATTAATAAAAAATATTGTATTATTTATATAAAAAAGTTGAAGAAAAAATAATTATGACTATGAAGCGTAAATATAGTGACATGGGAAAAATAAATAAATGAAATACTTTATAAACTATAGTTATGAACATTGATGGTGTAAATATAACCGGGTAGGTTGACCGGGTCTGACCTGGACACAAACTCTACTCGTAGTAAACACACACAGAACACAAAGTATGACCTAGACCGGGTAAAACTCCTCAGTCCGAATTATATTTCTTACTCTGTCTCAAGAGTGTACTTTTAGTGAGATAAAGATTGCCCCCCTCCTCTATCCATGATTAACATATTTATAGAGCAGTGTGTGACCTTTCCCTATTCACCCGTAGACAAAATAGGAAACAAGTAGGAAGGTCACTGTAGTTAATGGAAGCACTGTACAATCAATGATTTTAATAGCTACAAGCCAAGACACTACTCAATCAATGACTTTAAGGTAGATCTTCCCTAGCCAATCAACCCTGCAAGATGACAAACATTCCTTTCACTATATATCTCGTGATGAATGAGCGGCGAGGTGGTCCCCTAGCCTCTGATGCTGATTGCCATGCTTGGGAGGGTGGCCAGGGGCGGACCCACATTGGGTCATATGGGGTCAAGCGACCCCACGGAAATTATAAAATTTTTTAGTATATATATACAATTTTCTTAGTGTATACTTAGATTTAGTATATATTTCAACAAACGCTACAAGTTTCAACTTGTACCCGCTGAAAGAGTGGTATGCTCCGTGTTTTGCACTGGGGTGGGCGGTCCTGAGTTCGAAACTTGCCGTAGGAATGAATATTCATTATTTTTTGGAAGATGACACCCCCAATTTCAAGAACAAATCTTCAAATCTTCCATTAATATTTTGCCGGATTTTTTTTCTAACATAATTGAATCTAATTATCTAAATAGAATATTTCTTTTTTTATTTGTAAATTATAAAAATCTTAATTTATTGTTATAAATTTGTTATTGTCTTTTTTAAGATTGTGATTTTTAATATGTTAATATAATTAGGTTATGTTTTAAGTTTATAATGTTTTTTATTATTTAAATTTAAATATAGGATGCAAAGGAGTGAGTATATATTATTTTTTAGGAGATGACACCCCCAATTTCTCGAACAAATCTTCATCTTCCATTTCTA